TTGAAAAATACTAGTTAGCGACTATACGAGCTCTATGAAATTACTAAATAAATCTAGTAACAAGATTAACTAAGATAGACCAGTCTAACTCTGAAGGTAAAGCAAATTCCAGAGAAGCTTCAAAACCCCCGATGGAGTCAAGAGCCAACAAGACAGCAGTGCTGCTGAAGGTGTTGAAGAGGTAGTTAAGTGATAGTTCCAGGCTGAAGCAATGGATTTGCTACTAATAGAATCATAGAATCGTTTAGGTTGGAAAAGACCTTTAAGATCATTTGAGTCCAACCGTTAACCTAGAACTGCCAAGTCCACCACTGAACCATGTCCCTAGGCACCACATCTACACGTCTTTTAAGTACCTCCAGGGATGGTGACTCAACCACTTCCCTGGGCAGCCTGTTCCAATGCTTGACAACCCTTTACAAGGCACTTCTAGAAATGAAAAGATTTAATTAACTTAAGATTCAGGTAAATAACTCAAAAACTTGCTGTTCCACACCCAGAGATACCAAGTAGTTATACAGCACAAGGAAAATATTAAACAACTTTATTTCAGTTTATGTTCACATTTTTCATTATCATCTATCCCGTCATAGCTGTACAATCATGGGCATTTCATGCATGCAAATATTAAAATTATAGGTTCAAATGATCGGCAATTAAAAATAAATCCAACTCTTGTTTCTCCAACCTAAATGATCTCAATTTTGTAGAAAACCTGGTTATATAATAAACTAAAATGCTTCATAAAAATACAGATGCCTGCATTCTCTGATTGCCCTGCATGCTTCTTTGTATGATATACAGTAATGGTAAAAGTTGCAGGTTGTAGTTTCACACACATCCAAAGTTTTCCCTACTTTTCTAGCTCACACGGAAATTATCTTAAGGGTTTACTTTCTATTTCTCCCTAAACTCTGGAAAGATTTGCTTAGTTTTATCTTACTTTGGTAAATAGGCCAACCTCATCATGTTCTTTTTCAATCAAGTTTATTCTGTGTAAAATTTCTTTTGCTTTCTTCCAGTAGTCTTGTAGACTTCTTTTTCTGACTTGCACATCCAACTCTTCTGCATTGTTCACGTTCAATGAATTATCATTTATTTTCAGGGACAACTGTTCAGCTTTATAAAATATAAAACAACATTCCAAATTTTATCAATGAACACCTTAGTAAGTATTTATTATATTTTAGTATGCTGAGGGACAGCCCCAATAATTTAATGTAAAATATAACCTCTGAATAATAATTTTTATATAACTTAATATAAATTTACACGTAAGTGTTAATACACTTCAAATATAAACTGCAGTTACAAGAGGTAAGCTTGCAGTTATACTTACTATAAGCTGTTTACACAATGATGCTGTGCTCTAAAAAATGACTTTATCATGGACTTAATCCTCTCTCTATAGGTCCTTTACTAGTATGGGTCTTTTTTTTTAAAAAAAACAACGTCATATTAATGGACACTGAAAATCACCACAGCCCCTCAATCTTAAACAAAACTTATGTTTTCAGTACAAAAAAGTAGATACATGCTTTTTACTAATTATCAATTGCATAATACCTTTCATCCTTTAGAGATCAAAGGACAAGGTGTCTTTCTGTTTCATTGGTAGTATTATACAGTTAATTAAAAAAACTTAAACAGGATACTTCAAAATACACCCTACTTTAAAAATAAAGATCAAGATTTTTTAACATTGCAAAATAATTGTGGTCATGGTGATTTCAGGCTTGATTATCTACTGGTTTAGTCTCTACAGACAATGGTACATACCCAGGAATAGAGCACCAATTGCGTGTTAAATGACAATGTTAATATTTTGGACATAATTTATAGATGGGAAAGATTTTAAGAACTAGCCCTACATATATAGGTTTCACAAGTGCATTATTGCAACATTGTTGGAATTATTACTTTTCTTTTTTTCTGCCCAAATGCCATAATCAGTCCATGGTGGCAAATCGCAACTTTTCTGCAGAAAACAAACATCTCTTGGAGTACACAGAATTACAAAGCTGCTACAGTTACAATCATTTAGAAAAGTCAACAGAACTTAAAGATGGAAATCATCTCATAATTTTTAAAGCAGTAACAGTAAGCTTACTCATTTGTTTGCAGTTTTGCAGCACAAAAGTAGCAGCTTTGTTTAGTTCCTCATCCTGAGACTCAGTTAATACCTGAATCATTAGTGGAAGACCATTGCTCTGAAGCAGTTCACACTGGTTTTCTTCTAAAATAGGACATTGTAAAGGAAAAAAGATTGGTTTCAGGCTCATACACACTTAATCTTACAGTAATTTTAGAAACTAATACTAGTAACTTTCAGGGAAATTCTGAAAAAGAGATTTTCATTATGGATCCAAGCATGCTGTAATGACCTACTACCCGGGTTGCAGCAGAACCACTCTAGATCAGACAGGGTGATTTGACCATAGCTCAAAGTTCTTGTAAGAAAACTGAAGGAGGACTGAGACAAATTATATGATGGAGATCCAAACTCATTTAATTGTCGCCTAAAATATTTGAATTATGGCTTCTGTATTTCTTTTCCTCTGATATATACTCCTAAAGTAGATAAGGTACATTTATGTAAGCCTTGAGATGCAGAAATATCAAAAGCTTGAAGTTTATAATTAGCAAAACTAATAAAATTAGTAGTTTAATCCTGATCTAGCTAACCTGTTCCTCCTCATTAACTACATAATTAGCTAATTTTTTTAATTGTGATCTCATTTGCAGTATATATTCATAAAACTGACAACATTCTAAAAATAGTTTTGTTGTCTAAACTTGATAAAACAAAGGAAGTAACAGAAGATGAAATATGATTATTTTGTCAGGGTTGACATTTTAAGAGAAACTTTTATTCTGTTTGTTTAATCATATTTCTATTTGAAAGACATTTTCCATTAAGCTTTGTTCCAATTAATTCTTCTGAAAAAGTATCTTTTAAAATATCAGATTTATGACCTACTGAGCTAATTATTGAACTTGTTGTTGACATTTAGCAGATGATAATCAGGATTTTTTGAACATAATCCCTTTTTTTGCTTTTCTGAACATACATGACAAAACACAGTAGTATAAACAATGGTCAGTATCTCACAACTTCCTGTTCTGTTTGCTCCTACTACATAAAATAACAACTTCAGTGTTATATTTTCACCAGCTATGCTTGGGAAAGCCCTGAGGAGCCTGGCAAAAACATTTCAGGGTCACTTACTGCTTGTGTTACCTCAAAAACTATACTGTTACATAGCTTTTTAAAAAATTAATAGCTATGTAAACAGTGGACAGAAGCTGTATACATATCAAGGGCCATTAAAATAGAGCTAAAAAAACTTATTTAATATGTATGTATTGTAGTAGTTTTCAGGTCTGGATGAATTTTACCCTGTGATACCTAAGCCCAGCTTTGAATTCTCGCATAATAGTCTACTTTTTCTAAGCTCTTAAAGAGACTATGTGCTAACAGGTTTTAAAATTTAAAGATGGAACATTATAGCAAACATTTTTTTCTGAATATTAATATTACACTATTTAATAGAACTTTCCCTCATGTTCCAGTCTTGATGAAATTACACCATTGAAGTAGTTAGCGTATGAGAATTTAGTAGAAACTGACAGAAAGAAAAAAGAAAAAATCTTACCACAAACTTCAGTACAGTGTCCAATTGTTAGAATAATACTGATTTTTTCTCCTGTATCCAGAGTGTCATTAGACAGCAGCTTCAGTAGCTCTGACACAGTGTGATACTTTGTCAAGACAACACCCATGGCAGCTATTATGTTAAAAATAATTTGAAGAAAAATAAACTAGATAGTAAGTATATAGGCATCATCCAAGTATAAAATGCTGTTTTTCAAGGGTACACTACAGGCCTCTAAAAGCCTTGGGCCTGCACAGTCCTTCTCTTCTCTCTCTTTCATTTTAACACTTCAAATTACCACATACCCCCTGGTGCAGTAATTCTGCCCATGCTACTCCCCGTATCCAACACTGCCCTTTCTCCCAGATTGTGCTATATAGAGATGTGGTAGAAGATCTGATAAACAAGGGCTTTGCAATTTGCAAGTTTTGTAGACCTCTGCTGAGTTTCTCCACATCCTTTATCAGCTCCAGAACAGAGTAAGAAAGAGTAGAATAAGGTTTGACACATAGACTATCTGCCACAAAAAGAGCTAGGAATGTTTCTAGTAGAGGGCAACCTCTTCCTGAAACTGGGACCACCACTGCTAGTACGTACATGTTGAAACCTAGTCCTGTCACATGCCAACTTCTTTGAAACTAGGCTCAAAACTAGTGCAGGTATATGCTTTTAAACTTTTTTGAACTTCCAGTAGTGAGCACTTAGGGCAGAAGTGTCAAATCACAGCCAACAGCAGAGATTCATTAGGCTCAAAGGTTTCTCAAAATCTTCGGATAGAATACACAAAGATCTCATTAGGATAGCGCTATCGAGTAAAGATGCATTATGCAGACATGCTACATTCGTTCAGCTTCACACCTGAGTTACTAAAGCCTCTTAAAGCTTACAAAGCTTATTAGCTTAGGCATAGGCCTACAGAAACACAGCTCTAACTCCAGGATCCAAGATGACTGCCGCGCCCAGATCTCAGCTTTACTTACACAAAACTAGCTCTAGTATCTTATTTTTAATTTTCAGTATAGTTTAAGTTTCACTATGTTTATTTTAGCAACAATAGGAAAGTAACCCACCTCAGATGAACTGAATCATTCCCCATATACAGGTTTGAATTTTAGAAAATCTGCAGTATCAACTGGGATGTATATAACTTAATTGCCTTTTAGCATCCATTCATATCATTTTTCCACCAAAACCAGACTTTAAAAATTGCCTTTTAAAATTGCCATATATAAAAAATAGTAGCAGTCTTTTCACTCACAGTCATTAGCAATGCAGGCATCCAAGGTCTTTGTTACTACTACTGCAAGTTTTGTGCTTGAGTGACTCATACAAGAATCATGCATAAGCTTGATAAGAACTTGAGCTAATGTATCCAATCCTCCAACAGAAACAAAATATTTCTGCACATATGCTTAGGGAAAAAAAGAAAAAATGTGTCTTAAATAATACAAGTCGCAAATTGTTTTAGCATTTTATCAGTTAGGCTCATCACAATTTTCCTGTGCATCTATTAATCACTACATTTCCACCCATACAAAAGAAGTTGGATATATATTAATCTCAAGAAACATAGTAATTGTCTTATAAAATAGTTACAGGAAACACATGGCCCTAATACATGCATACAAATGGCAAACATTATGCCTGAGTTCTACCTAAGTCATCACTTTCAGAGACATAATAATGACTTGTATTTGTAAAATACTTTTAATCAAAACATCTTCCAAACAGTTTTTACTGACCTTACTAAATGTAGCCAGTTTGTGGCTATTTGTGGACTTAAGCACAATGCAGTGTAAGTAAAGATCATGGAATGTAGTTTTCAGAGTAAAAGTTGGAAGAACAGCAAATTAATTTGTAGAGATTGACAAAAAGATATCAAACGTTTAACTATCGAATTAAACTTACTTTTACAAAAGAAAAACTATTTAAAGCTTGAGCTGCACTTACAGTTATTTGCAACTGTGAGACCAACAAATGAACAAATAGGACGAACTATCTCAGGCTCCGTGCAACTTTCAAGCCACTCTTTGGCATATGGAAAAACTGAACAGCAAATGTTTTGATTATCTTCTGGAAAAGTAAAAACAAATAACCCCAAATCAAAACATAATATGAAATTTCAGTTGAACAGTAAAAATGAAAACAAACTGTTGTCACTTTAGAGAAATACTTCAAACTTTTTTCACAATTTTAACAGCAACACTTACCATTCTGAGGATTGTTAACACAGGCACAGAGAGTACTGCAGACTGAAGACCACAGCTGGTAGCACTGATTAGTATTTTCATCTGACAGATTGATCTCAGATGTGGAAAGAGTTGTTCTGTTAAGAACAGTGCAAACAAGTCCCAAATAGTCAAGCAAAAATGTCCTAAAGAGTCTATCATTTTCTCTGTTTGAATTGCAACTGTTTGTTTACCTGAATAACTGTAGCAGAAGACCAATGCAGCCTGTATCTCTGACATAGGTTTGCCCACTTTCTAAAAAAGAACACATACAAGACTCCGAAGACACATGCAACTTGAGACAAAATCTTATTGTCAAGTTTAATTTACATATCTACATTCTATTTCCATTTCCTACGCATATATCCTCCCCCAAAACAAATACAAAATCACACCAACACATTGGCAAAAGTGTTCCCTTTCTTTCTGTGTCTATTTTTTTTCTATACATTGTCAGAAACTACTGGTTTGCATTCTATTTTTTTTTTAAACTATAATTTCATTTTTAGAACTAAAACACTTTCTGCTATTTAAGGAAATCCCAGTGAGCGATGATCTACTTACACAATTCAGGTTCAGTTACATGCAACCATTCATCTTTATAAATTAACTTTACCAAAACATTACTTATTGAGTGTTCCAAATTTCTGTACTGCAGATTGGCAAATAGAAAAAAGTGGTGTAATAACACAAAAAAAACCAAAACAAACTTACTATTATTTGAAACCAGTACTAAGATGACATAAACAGACATTCTTTTCAAGTTCACACCAGAATCCTTATTAATTAAAAATAAAATGAGGTCTTCAAACAATGCAGAAGTACACAAGGTTTGCTGACAATAAACTGAAACCAGAAAATAAACACCAATAAGTCCTAAAGCAAGCCATTCATAATCCTAAATTTTTTTTTAATAGAGTAACTAGAGTCTCAGTTGCGTCCAGTATGTGGTGAGCAGAGACAAAACAGGACTATGAGGTGACTGAGGCCTTCCCCCTGTAGTCAGTTCTGAACCAACCAGGACCTAGGCAAACTTTGGAACAATCTATGAGTCATTTAACACTTGCTGCTAAGGAAGGTAAGTAGTACAGCTGTCTGGTATCATAAAGACATGCTGTCTACACAGGCAAGGTATGTAGACAGCATGTCAAATCAGCAAAGTATTTCTGCAAATCTGGGGCTGGACAGGGAAACAGTGACACCTTTACTGCCCCTTGCTCGAGCTGATAATCTTGTAATCTGATTTTCTGAGACAAAAAAAAATGGAGACAAAGCACAAGCAGAAGTAATAACATGGGATCATAACTCACTCAGAAATACAAATAATATTACTTATTATTACCATTACTCTCTATTATAATTCCTAATGTAAATAAAGCCGCTTCCTTTACTATGCAGTGAACACTTGACTTTGCAAGATCATTTATAAACATCAAGCCACCAATTTCTCGAAAATATTCGCTTGCTTCACCTATAACAGAAAAAAGAACAAAAATTTTTTGCTTTTGTTTCTCTGTAAAATGGAAACCTTCCAAGATTTTATAACTTCTCAAGCCTTATATCCTTTAGATAACTTTTTTTTACGGTGACAACCAGCTTCTTAACATATATTGTGAACATAAATGATTGTGTTGTTTCGAAGGAAAATGCTTCTTACTGTTTTGTTGACAAATTGAATAAATAGTGATCAAAGCCTCTTTCTGAGACACAGGGCAGTCCATCTGATATTTAAGGCATTCAAGCAGTAAGTTCAGATCTGTTTTCATGTCTAAGAGCAAACACAAAAAACTTCATGAAAATTGTTATCTCTTCTTTATATTAATCTATTTAGTATTACAATAAACCTTCCCCAAAAATGTAGTATGTATGTGTATTTTAAAGAAAAAAAAAACATGAGCAAAAATGGAGCTACACCACTTCTATCCGTCTATAAATAACAAACATACTTAACCTAACAATATTCCTCTCCATAGGTTGTTATTTGAGCATGATTTCCTGTGCTAAAGTAACAGCCCCCTTTTAATATTTCTGGCCTTTAATTATGAGTTACTGTTAGTAAGTGTGATGTAAATTACTAAATATTAAATTCACAATTGCAAGGTGCATTAAGTGTATTTAAGTGAGTAATACAGAACCATGAAAATATTCAGAGTGAAAGTACAATTGAAAATCTACAGAGAAAATAGGGAAAGAAAGCAAGGCTTGCTATATGATACTTAGTTACAGAAGACTTCATCACTTAGCACAGCAGCTAGAATCTTGAATCAGGTTGTTAGGTTAGTAAGTTAACACAAAGCAATTTCTGGGCACCTACATACAATCCTAGGTAGGTAAACCACTTTGAAAATCTGTTTCTTAGTCTTCTGGGTATAATAAAAAGACTTACTTGATAATTATTTGCAACACTAACAGCAGATATTGTATATTTTAAACACTTGTAAGGTTTGGGGTTTCTTAAAGAAGTTAAAATACAATAAAGATGTGGGTAAATATTAGGAAAAAAAAAAAAAAAAAAAAGACTTTGTGGTGGTATTATTTACTATTTGAAAGTCTGTCATTAGATTCGCCCTTTAGCTATCCAATACAGAATCCAAAAATTTGACAAGAAGGAAAAAGAACATTTCCCCAACAGCTCACCACCCCATGACAAGACCTATCACAGTCTACTAACACTTTGTAAAATTGATGCAGATAATAAATGACAAATAAATGGTATCTTACCACACTGGTTTTTCTGCACCTTTTGAGTTTCCATTTTTGGTTGTATCTCTGTTCTTGTTCTACAGTAGCAAAGAAAAAGTGTTTATTTTCTGTTCAGATCATAAATTAAATAATTTTTCTTAAAATACACTCCAGTTTTCTGGTTTTACTCTATCATCTGACACACACACACAGAGTTTAATATGCTCTTGCACGGCAAAGATTTCCTTTGGAAATACCGTATTTTATAGTAACACTGCATTTGTAATTATTGTGTTATTATCTTTTGCCGGTTAACATTTTGCAGAAATCAGGTGATTCCATGCTACCATTGTGGGGCACCAAAACCGTCTTTGTCATTAAAAATATTCCTAACTCTGTGTCATTTATCACAATAAATGTGATCCAATTTTTCTTACAGTAGGTTGCCAACTTTGTCATCAGCCAACAACTGGCAATAAGACCACCAAGTAATGTTATGTAGAGGATCAAGTGTATCTGACATCCACTATAAAACATTCAGCCTCCTACAGCTACTCAGTGAGCCACTAAACCGTAACTATGTTGTTTTATCAGTATTGATCAAAACCAAAGACAATGAGCATGAACTGAGACATTATTTCTTAAGCTAATAATTTTAGTTCACCAAAGAAATTATTGCATTACATGAACCATGTAAACCAGAAAAACCCACAGCATTGATTCAACATAAACCTAATGTGCCAACTTCTGAGAGTTAGTTGAGCAGCAGAGTGAAATTCAGGTTTGGAAGCAGAAAGATGGTCCCTTAACCACGCCCCAAGTCCCAAACACGAAAGGTTGATGCAGTGTCACAGTAACCTATTTCAATCTCTCAGAAATGATTTAGCTCCAGGCAGAAACTTTAAATCAGTGATAAATCCAGCTTAATAATGGATTAGTTATCCTTCTCAAAGTAGAGCAAAGGCTCTAAGAAATATCAGTCTCATCTTAAAGAAGACAGCCTGCCCTGCTTTCCATTTTGAGTTACTGATTGTCCCTATTCCTTTGCTGCTTCCATTAGTTCAAATGTTCCATATACATCCTTACAGTCGCATTGGTGAAGCACATGTTTTGAGAGGGAAAGTTTAAAAAAAGTTCATCTTCATTTACCCTTTCAGAAGTGGTAATATATATGCGTTTCATTTTCTTGCAAATCTAACCCTGCCACAATAGCAGAAAACTTGCAAGTCTTCCTCACCTCTTTTTGCCCCTGCTGATACCGCCCTACTAGCCTAAGAGAAAACAAAAACCACCTACACATTCCTTAACAAAGGCTGTAAAAATGAGCTACCTTCTGAGCTAATGTCATTTCAGCAAAGTTTCATTAAATACACACTTATACAATTAAAGAGCCTTTAATATAAGCAGCACAATTTTTTTTTAAACACTATAGAAAGATATGTCTTGACCTTAACTGGATCTTTTTCTTTTGCAACATAGAGAAGGTACACAAAATAATATTTATAAGCCAGCCTACCTCAAAATGCAAATAGCTCAACTCTGTTGCATCACAGGGCAAAGATGAAAAGCTAAGTAACAGGATTTGCTGCAACAGACTTCTGGCAAATGCATATAAAAGAAAATAATTACCTCTTCCCCATCAGTTATGGACAATAACCCAGTAACATCCCTTCAAACCTCAAAAAACCACTCCTAAAAAAAATACAGATATAGTCATCTGTTTGTTCAGCAGCATTAGAACACATGGCTTGAACATCCAGAAAGACGGACACAGGAGGTTAGCGGAGCTCACATGAAGGCCAATAGGAATGTCCCCAGTCAGTCAGGGCCTGGGCTGCCGGACTCACCCCTGCGCAGCCACACCAGGATAGAAACAGCCAGTCTCAGGCGTATTTTTCCTTTTTAAAACCCAGTGGTCAAATCCTGTACAGTAGAAGTCTGGATTTTTGGTGTCCTCTTGAAATCCGAATTCACAGCAGCAGCTGAGAATGCGTCCACTAACTTTTGAGAAACACTCTTCAGTGTAACAGGCCTTTGAAGTCTTCCAGTGCTATTTCAGCATTCATCCCATCCCTCCTCCCTCTCAAATGAGCCATATATGATTTATAGCTCATTATCAGAGTTCGACTTTGAAGTAGAAGTCTTAACAAGTACTCCAGATCATCCCAAATATAAAAAGGAAAGAACATATAAAAGATTAAAAAAAAAGCCAACAGTCTAAAAATGAAACAGCAAAAGCATTCTTCTGCCAGCTTTTGGGAGGGGTGGGGAGTATCAAGAGGATGGGAAATAGGGCACGGATTAGCTACCTGTTGATCCGGCAGCGGGAGTCGCTCTGGTCAGCCACGAAGGCAAGCCC